CCCGTAGGAGAGGTGTGGGCTGGGAGGAGGCTGCGGGTTAGCTCAGGGCTGTGGGGCCCGATGGAGAGGCGCTGGCTTGGGCGACCGTGCGTGAGTGGCCCGGGGCCCCGCGGGTGGAAGGAGCCGGAGGAGAGATGTTAGAGGGGCCAGTGTGAGGAAGGGGGACGCGAAAGGGCGCTTGAATAGCGAGGACTGGGGAAGAGGAATCTCCTGGGGAGAGGACCAAGGGGCTCACCCGGAGTGGGGCTGGGAGTCGCGGGCTTGAGGCTTGGCATGAGTAAAGGCTGGTGTGCTGAAGAGCTTTGTGACAGGAGTGGGAAGAGCTGCATTGCCGGTCAGGGACCTGGGGAGGGCCTCTAGGCTAGAAGCAGGTGACTAAATTTTGGCTGAAAATTAAAAATTCAGGCTACAGAACAGTTGCCTCTGCTTATTAAAACCCTAAATTCTTTGCATCTGTCTTAACGGCCTTGAAAACTAATGCTCAGTAATCTTTAACCTCATCTGCTTCCATCCCTTAACTGTTCCCTTCCATCTGCTTGTGTCCCTCTTCCCAGAGATCACAAAGCAGACCTGCCTGCCTGAGTGGTGGACTCACAGGCAGTGCATGTGTGTGTCGGGGTGAGGGTCACAAAAATCCCTGTGCATGTTGGATGGGGAGGGGTGCATGCCAAGTCCCTCAAAAACATGGAGCTTTGGAGATGGGAAAGAAAAGTCTGAGTCTAAAACAACATAAGCACTGTGGTGCTCTGATATTTTAAACATTTCAAATTAAAGTAATTCAATGAAATAAACAAGAATGTTGTTAAGCTCTCATAACAGATACCTGGTAGTGCTGTAACCACCAAAATAAACACTTTAAAAACCTGTCTCTGAAGTTAAACATAGAATCTCAGGTGGAGTTATTGATGTTTTTCAGATCTCCACAATGTCCAACCCTGTAAAAAAACAAACTGTACTATAACCACAAAAATGAAACTAGATCTTCCCATTTTATCGCTTACAAAGGAAAATGCACATCTAAAGGGAGTACTGCTGCTTGATAGCTGTTTCTATGAACTATACAAAGTATAAAAGGATAAACAAAGTTAACCTCACCAAGCACAGCTTCTGCACTTGTTTACAGAAAAGTTAAAAATTATAATCCATAGGAGCAACTGTTGTGATGTAATATTGACCCATTTTATTTGTTTAAGGCAGTGCTTAATGTACATCCTGCAAACAGATGAGCCCAGGTTCAGCAGAGGGAGCATTGTATTTATTCACACTATCTGCCATTATGTGAAGCATTTTCACATTATTGCGAAAACTGGAGGAGGTGCAAAAGTGCAAGTCAGAGGTCAAAAGAGCCTTATGAGCTCAAATAAATATGGTGGATCTTATTCAACTGTTAATTGAGTAAGTTATCTGAAGCTAACAGTTAACCAGGAATGAATTCAGTCTGATTAAAACCACGCAAATTACGATGTATTTATTCCTGTGGTTCAGTGAGGTTTTCCCTGTTACTGAAGCTCTCACAAAATTGATTGCCTGTAAGTTAAAAGTTACTCTGGACATACTGTGTTGTCCATTGTCTGAATTCTGTGAAGATGAAGGCACTCGTTGTCTAGATGTTTTTACTACACTTCCCTTTTGAGATGAGTCACCAGGAAGTAATAATAAATTCTAAACATTACCCAACACTCATTGATCTGAGTGTTCTTCACATCATAGGAGGGAGCAAATAATGTTCCTTATCAGTGATGACAGAACCTTTCATACTTCATAAGCTCTTTTGTAACAAGCTTGATTTTTTTATTAACATAGAACATAATTGTACATACACATTGAGTGGTGCTCCTTTTTAAAAAGGGAAGTGTGCTCCATTAGGGAAGAGCTTGTTCTATGTAGGTGATGATCTTATGTTAGAAAATTATGAGAGCTAATGCTGAACTATTACAATAAGTCTCTTTAAACGTTTAAATTTATAGTTATGTACTACTAAAAGTGACCTGCAAAAGCAGAAAAAAGGGTAGTGGAGTATTTGATGTAAAATTTTATCTGGAAAATTTGAAACAGGATGACTGCAACTGTTCCTCTCTTCCAAGTGATGCTGCTACCACTGACAGACTCCGGAGATGACTGGGAAAAGGATGTGTTCTAAATTACGTAGTACTCATTGACAGTGAAGAACATTCAAGATTCTTATTTTTTTAGCACTTGTTTAAATGAACTGTGAAGACTCAGAGGACAATGTTGGGGCATTTTACTGTTGTTTATTCAGTGCCTCACAATTGCAGTTACACACTGATAATTCCAAATATGATTTATGAACTTCAAAAGTCTGTCGAAAAAAGAATACAAGAGTTGACTGGTAAAAAGAAAAACCAAACTTCAAAATCCAAAGGGACAACCTCTTTTTCTGTGTCCTCTTTAAATATAAGGGAAGTAAAAGCAAAAAGGCTAGACCCTTTTTTCACTTCAGGTCAACTTTTACTAGTAAAAGCAAAATCAGTGGGGTTTATTGACACGCCTGTGGTTTTCCCCGCTATGCATATTTGTATTACTGCTTTCTAGTTCCACAAACAAAATCCACTCATACAAATGTTCATGTGCATAACTTCCATGCATAAAGAATATGCAGATGCATTTGTATGAATGGTCAATAATTTAGGTATTTTTAAGCTATATTAAATAAATTTAAAAAAAACCCCAAACATTTGGCGGTGTGGCTTTTTCTCTATGATTGTTGCAGCTGAATTTACTGTGTTCTGTGCAGAATGGCTGTTGATGGTGGGTGTGGGGACACTGGAGACTGGGAAGGTCGCTGGAACCATGTAAGGAAGTTTCTCGAGCGATCTGGACCATTCACACATCCTGATTTCGAGCCAGGCACTCAAGTGAGAAACACTTACTTTAAATAAATCTGTAGTGTGTGTTACAAACTAATGTAAAGTTTCATTAATTGACCACCAGCAGTGTATGAATACTAAAAGTGCATGAAAAGCTTGTATTTTAATCAGTTGAAAGTTATGATTCTTGAAGAACTTACTGTATTCTCTTCATGAGCTTGTGTTTCTAAATGGTACACTGTCAACTACAAGCTTGCTGTCATCATATGTAAAAATGTATAACTGTATGAATTATGCTCTGTCTTTTAAGTTCCATATGAGAAATAGCAGCATTTGTCTCTCTTTTTAAGTTATTATATACAGTAAGGAATTTCTTGTACTTAAAGAATTAAGGTTAACATGAGTACTTAGAGAATTGGGAAAGATGTTTAGTAGGGAAAAGCAAAATTTAGACTGTTTAAATTCTTTCTTCTGCTTTCCTTTCTTGGTACATTTTGATTCAGAGCTTACAGTTGAATGTATTTTACTGTTACCTTTTTAATGTACTGTTCCATTATTCACTACTTTGATGCTGGGGTCTAGCAGAACAATCCACAGAAAGCAGTTATATGGTTGAAAATTCGGTTCTTTTGGGCCAGCAATGTTGTTTGTCTGTTCATATTTATTTTGTATTATATATCAGTAAAATTTTTGGTGGAAGAAAATATTATCTCCTTAAATGAATGATAGTAAAAGTGGAACTTGTTTTTTTTTTTCATGGCCAAAACTAATATGAAGAGAATAATGATACAGCAAAGGTCTTGCTTTTCTCTAAGCTGGGATATGGAAATTGTGTGAACTCAACAACACATTAAAGTCTGATATCTAAATAGACCTGCAAGCCCAAACTGTTTCATTGATCTAAGTTGGTTTATATGAAACTTCTATTAGGCACTGAAAACATACAGTGACTCATTTATAAGGGTTATGAAGCAAAGGACAAATTGTACTTTTTTCATATTTATTGTATTAATATTTTGTTTGCTATTTTCCACAGGCTCTGGAGTTTTTGTTGAACACATGTAAAGTACTGGTTATTGGAGCAGGAGGATTAGGATGTGAACTCCTGAAAAACCTGGTAATTACTCAGTTTTCACCCTTTGCTTCTTAGAATCTTTTTTCCTTGAAGAAATTATCTTTTCTACTTTGTTAATTTGGCATTTTTGGTTGTATATAGCTACCAAATCTCTAAGTTCTAATCAAAATGTATAAAATACATGATGATACAGACAATGAACTTGAAGAATGCAGCTTGATAGAAAGCTTAGGAGGTGATAGTCTTAATATGTTTTATATTATATGCTTGGCTATCTTAAACCTTGTCATGAGGGACAACACAGTGCTCTTTGTGAAGTGTAGACAAAGTTCTCTTGCAGCCTTAGATATGGTCCGATGTTGATAATTTTCCCTAATTACCAGATCTGGGAAAATGAAGTAAACTGACAACTAATCAGGCTCATAATGATGCAAGGACTTGGTGTTTGGGATCCAATCGTGTCCTGGTTTCAGCTGTAACAGTTATTTTTCTTCCTAGTATCCTGGTACTAGTTAAAATGTATCTTTTCAGATGAAAAGTGATACTTTAAAGTGCTGGTACAAAGTCTAGTATCAACAGTCACAGTTGAACTTAATTTTAGTTTATTTTACGTCTTTGGATTCAAAGCAATGTTTGAGTTGCTGGAATTATTTGTGTTCTTTCAAAGTGAAATAAGTTCTTTTGTAGTGAAATAAATTCTTTTGTAGTGGAATAAGTAGAGCCAGACTTACTGTGTCTATGTCTCTAGAATCCACTTGGCTTTCCTGAGAAGTGGCTCTTGGGTTTTCCAGTTCCTCAGGATCAATAAATTGGAGGTTGTCTTCAGAGCCTTAACCCCCAGAGGGGCATCTGAATTCAGCCTATATAATGACAGCTTTATTGAGCCAGACTAAGACACAATATCCTGATGGAAATGGCTAAGGAGGAATAGATAATACTGTAAGAAGAGAGAAGGAATATTGCAGCACTTCCCTTTCTCAATATGGTGTTGCTTTATGATGGATTCTCTCACTACACATTTCAAAAAGCAGTTTTCAAGTATTATTGCAGCATTTCCCTGGTGTACAGGTTACCAGAAGGTATTTTCTAGTTTTCTCAATATGGTGTTGCTTTATGATGGATTCTCTCACTACACATTTCAAAAAGCAGTTTTCAAGTATTTAAAATGCAAACATGTCATGTGCGTCAGATATTTACCCATGTACAAATGTTTTTATCCTCACAGACGCTCATATTTATGATAGTGTTTCACTGTTACTATACTGTGAATTTGGTAGGTTAGACTAATACTGTACATTTCTGTGGTTCTATTTAATAATAATTTCTGTGCTTATGGGTTTCATGGAAATATGTGGATAGCTTATCATGAAATAACTTTTTTCATTAATTTATACGAACAGTTGTGCATTAGTGCACTTTACTATAGAATTTGTGTACTGATAGTTCAGTATTTGCACAGACTTTCTCCAAGGTTGAGATGACTGTTAAATCAATAGCATCATTTAAAGCCAGGCATTCCAGATCCATTAACTTAGGGGTTTTACAGTTCTAGCACTTGTGAATGGTCTTATTCTGGTTGCTGGTTTGCTACTGCAATGGTTGAACAAGATTTTACTTGAAGAGACTTTGACAACTCCAAGACAATTTTCTTTCTTTGGGAATTTAATGCTGGTGGATTTAACCTCTGCCCAGAGCTCTTGTTTTATGCGTTCATCAAGACAAAACAAATTCCATCTCTTGATAGCTTGTTGAGACAGAGGATTTGTATGGGATAAGGAACTTCATTAGTCTGCTTTGTTCCCATCCCTTTAAAAAGGTTTTAATCTATAATGATTTATTTTTATCATTTTCAGAGTGGTAAGCAAACCTAGATTCTGTTCATATGTATTCATGTCTTTGGGACAATGAATCTAAGTTTTATGAAGACTCCAGTCTGTATGTTCTTCCGATGCCCCAGGCTCACTCTTCTTTTTAGCAGGCTCTCCCAGTCTGCTTCTATAATATTGAAGAAAATCTCAACATTTATCAATGAAATAAAATGATTGCTTAGCTCTAAGCATATCCAGTATAACAGAGAGAAAGTGTTGCTGCTTTTCTTATAGAATTAATTTCTATTCTGAAAGACTTTAGTCCTGTTGTTCACTTGTTTAATCAGTTTCCCAATACAGCATTTTCAATGCTTATTATGCATGAGGTGGCTCTATTTATTTAGAAAAATGTAAAATGTAAAATCTGAAAGTTTTTATATATAAGAAGATTGAGTCTTAAAGGAAATAACGTAGGGTACAGGACTCGAATTTTTTGGAGTAACTTCAGAACATCACAACACATTTCCTTTCTCTAAACCCAGTGTTTTACACCATATATTTCACTTCAGCTACAATTTTCATTGTTTCTTTGTGTATGACAGACATTATTACTTTTATCAGATCAGACCTGCAATCCAGTTTTAAGATAACTTTACTTCAAAGTTACTTGCCCAGTCTAGTGATGGCCTGCATGCAAACAGAATCAGGCAGAACCTCGGCCAGAGGTTCAGCATGTTCTTTGATAGTGAAGAACTTCATGTGTTTGCATTGGCTTATCTTGAACTGTGATTTGAGGGTGGATATGCCAGACTTATTTATGCCACCTGTGAAAATAGTGAATGTTCAAAACCTTAAAATTTTAGAGGAATTAAACTTTGTTTTTCTATTCCTGACAAGCAAGGAAGTACTTACGGTATTTCTTCAAATTCTGCACTTTTTCCCCCCTAATGAATGCTTTTGATTTACTCCAGTTGTGAGGAAATACTACGAATTCCTCTTATGGGTCAGCCTATGTTGTCTTCCCTGTGTTATGTTAAGGTAGGCTAAAGCAATACTGTGTTCAATAGAACATTATCTTTGATCACTGAAATGTTGCTAATTCCGTCTGTGTAAATATCAGCATTACTAACCCAACAAAGAATATTCTTTTAACAAAGAACAACAATATTCCTGTCTGCACAGGGAGTGAAGAGCAAATATGTTTGTACCTCCAAAGGTGGTTGGTTTTGGCACATGGAATGAATTCTGGAGCACCGTAAGCATTTCATTTCCTGTTAAATGAAGTTGACATTCTCTTTTCACAGGCATTGTCTGGCTTCAGACAGATCCATGTTATTGACATGGATACTATAGATGTTTCTAATCTGAACCGACAGTTTCTGTTTCGGTAAGTGATATTTTCACGGTTCAACTTTTGTTTTTTTAAATGTACTCAAAATATGTGACTATGATCATTATTTTGGTTGAACAAGATATCATTAAAGATTACTGAACTTTCATATCACACTAGTATTCATAATTAACTGTTATGTATGATTCCTTCTTGTTCAGAGATCTGTGGTGAGCATGAAGAAAGTTAACATAGATCCCTTACCATTCAGATACAGCTAATGACTAATGAAAACGTGACACCAAAGAATAATGCACACAGATTGACATATCAATTTTTCTGGTGCCCTTTTCTTCCAAACTAAGTGAAAAATTGTATTTTTTTTGGTGCTGATAGCCATAGTTACATGGACATATTTAGATAACTCAGGTTCTTACATCTTATGCTTTACAGGGATGCCTTGATCAGGGCAACCTGGTTTAGTTGAAGATGTCCCTGCTCATCGCAGGGGTTTAGACTAGATGGCCCTTGAAGGTCCCATCCAACCCAAACTATTCTATACTATTTGGTGATATTATCCGTAGCAATAAATTGTCCTCCAGTAACAATTAGTCACTTAATTCAGTATTGCAATGCATAGAGTCTGGAAAGATGGAAACCACTAAAAAATGTACTTGAAATTGCTTGGGTTTTTTCCTAGACCGAAGGATGTTGGGCGACCAAAAGCAGAAGTTGCAGCAGAATTCCTGAACAACCGCATTCCCAACTGCGCTGTAGTACCGTATCCTTTTGTAGAGAACTAGTAGCCCCAAAGCCTTCAGAAAACCTAGAAAACTCTGTAGGTGGTAAGACTACCTAAAGTATTTTGCTGCCATCCTCTCTTTTTCATACAATAAAGAGCAGATTCATTCAGCTGGTGATTGAGAAGTCTTTCTCAGTGACATTGGCATACAGGAAGCATGCACGGGGAAAGAAGGCTAAGCTTTAAGAAACTATATGGTATGTTTCCTTCTATTGAGTCTTTTTATTCAAATGCAATGTTCAGATTTTCACTGAAATACGAAACTATCAGGCTTATTCACCAGAGTCTTTTGAGTATGTACTGGTAGGAGACAGTTTATAAACATGGAGCAGCAGTTACTGATACAGGACTTTGTGAGAGCACGTGTTTTGAGCTTCCTAAATAGTTTGCCTACTGAGCTTTCTCCTCTGTGTGACTATTATGTTGTGTCCCTTACATTTGTATTTTTCAGATGCCACAGCTTCAGCTGAGGGAATTTTCAATCTTAATTTTATATGCTACTTTTTTACAGAAATAGTAATAAATTAGATAATGTTTTGGCTTCAGGTTAACAAATATTAAACAGTAAGCTTATCTACTTTATAAATACATTCCTTTACTGAGCTTACATTCAGATATTTTAAAAAGATTCAAGACATGGATGAAAGCTTCTATCGACGTAAGTAGTATTTGTTTCCAAGCGAAACACACGCTGGTCCTTTAGGGGAACCTGGCAGTTGTTGCTGCAATTTGACCACCTGCTTTTCCTGGTGGTTAGATGGCTAACTACTTTAATCTTGTACAGTATACTGGAAGTAGAAGTATGAAATAGAGAAAACTTAAATGCATCTGTCACATAGGGAATCTAGGGGAGATAGTTAAACTGCAGTCAGTTCCTCTGGACTGTTATGGACAGATATTTTGCTTTTCTTAAGAAGTATGATTTAGTATGGACTTTAAATAATGTTTTTTTCCCCCTAGAGTTTCATATTATTGTTTGTGGGCTGGACTCTATAATTGCCAGAAGATGGATAAATGGCATGCTGGTAAAGTCTTCAGTGTTTTTAAAGCCTGGTTATTGCTTGAGTATAGATAACTAAAATTAAACAGATTTCTGTAGAATGTGTCATTAAAATGAAATGAGGGCTGTTGAAACTTCAGTTTATCTGTTTCTGTTTTCTTTTGTCTTTTTGTGAACAGGATAAAATGCATGTTTTCTTAGCTGCCTTTTTCTTGAGGAGTATTAGCCAACATTTGTGCAGTGCCCTGCAGGGGTAGTTTCAAAGTTAGATCATAGTTGTGGCCTTCTGCAGTCAATTTTTGAAAATCATAAGATGGGAAGTTCCACAGCTCTGGATGCTCTCATTGTGAACATTTGGTTTTTTCCTCATTAGCCAAACAGTACTTATTATGCTGCAACTTGTAAATGTCATCTTTTGGAGCTCTGCTGCTACACAGTAGTAGAAGGCTTGAGTATTTACCAGTATTTCAAAGCAAAACAAAAAAAAAAACCCAACAAAACATCAAACCAAGAATTACACCCCCAAATCCTTCAAACCAATTAGACATTTGTTCTGGCATACTATAAGGGAATAACAGCGTTTATCAGGGGGTAGGGGAGGAGGAGGCTGAAGGTGGTTGATCAAGTCCTGTGCGCTGACAAATAAGTAGAGTTTTATACACTATGTACTCTTAAAATAAACTGTCTATTAAGCATTCAATCTTGTGGTGTACTGTTAATAAAATTTTCAAGGTTTTTTTTGTTTTCCTTCTTTTGTTTGGAAAAACAAAATCCAACAAAACCTCCTCTCCCCCATCCTTTATTCATTAAGCATTCAATCTTGTGGTGTACTATTAATAAAATTTTCAAGGGTTTTTTTGTTTTCCTTCTTGCAAATTGTTTGGAAAAACAAAATCCAACAAAACCTCCTCTCCCCCATCCTTTATTCATTAGATGTCATTTTTACACTATGAAGATGGTGTACTAGATCCAAGTTCCATCATACCTTTAATCGATGGAGGGACAGAAGGTTTTAAAGGAAATGTCCGTGTGATTATTCCTGGTATGACAGCCTGTGTTGAATGCACGCTTGAGCTTTACCCACCACAGGTAATTGCAACCAGTGATATTTCCTTTTTTTATATTCCTCTGATTAGCTTGTTTCTTTTCCTAACACTATACATAATGTATTACACACTTTCTCCTGGTTTTCCTCCCCTGCCCACACCAGGTCAATTTTCCCATGTGTACAATTGCGTCTATGCCCAGGCTACCAGAGCATTGTATTGAGTATGTCAGGATATTGCAGTGGCCCAAGGAGCGACCTTTTGGAGGTAATTAGTGTATTGCACTGGTGCTAAACTGACATTTCTCTTTTTAACTAATTTGTTTTGAGTTAGGTATACACAGCAACTTTTAATAGAACAATCCTACCTTTTAACCTTAGGTAGCTCATTGTTATATTCAGTCTAAGGCTCCTCTGAGCTGGTGATGGATTTCCTCTTCTTGGACTCGCTTTCCAGTTCCACATTTGTTCACGTGTTTGTCATACTGCACAGTGAGTTTCCTGACTCACAATGTAACCTCCAAGAGCTCTATAAAGCTGCAAAGTTTAGATAGTTTGTGTACAGAGTGTGTTAGAACTTAAAATGTTTGTAGAAATGGTATTTGATTAAAGTATCAAGTTTTAATTAGTTAATGGGGTATTCATTTTAACCTCAATTAAAAAAGAAGTAGGGGTTTTTTTTAGACAAAAAACATTTCTGAAGAATTCTTATGACTAACTTATTTGTAAATTTTTAATTCTGCTGTAGAAGGTGTTGCGTTGGATGGAGATGACCCTGAACATATACAGTGGATTTACCAGAAGTCTTTAGAAAGAGCATCACAATTTAACATTAAAGGTGTTACATACAGACTCACCCAAGGTAAGGATATGGCATTTCACTGAGTTTATGGCATTTGCAATTAGGCTGGACTGGCATTCTTTGTGTTTGTTATGACTAAGTTTGGCAGCTCTGCTGAGAAAGAAATAGTTCTTTCCTCCCTTAACATCTTAAAACAGAAACAAGCAGCTTGTTTCCTGTACCAGCACAAATATTTTTATGATGAATCAGATGTTCAGGCATTTGTGATGAATCAGAGGAACTTACTTGGGACAAAACTGTACATTCTTTTTGCCATTTTATTTTTAGCCTGGAGCAGCTCCACAATTTACATTACACTGTGGCAACTTTTGCTGGGTCAAAGAGTAGGAACAGGAGAATGAGATTGCTTCTTTTAGAAAGAACAACATTTTATGCCAGTTTAGGCATAAACAGACTATAGCATCCGTTCTTCACCGCTGTGCGTGCCTCTTCACATGCAGGTGCCGAATGCTGCCACTCATTGAACATTTAAACCACTAACCAAATAGAAAAGAAATGGAGAATCTCATGCAGAGTCTCCAGAATTTGTAATAACTTCTGTTTGTTGACATGGAGTACTGAGAATACATTTGAAACGCTGGGCTTGAAATGCCACGCTTGAACCTCAGTGTGTGCCTTTCTATCAAAAAAGGGCAAACTGATTGTTGTGTATCTTCCTCAGATTCCACCTAGTGTATCTCAGATAGTCATCTTCTTTGCAGCAGTTTATACTGGCTTCTCTAGTAGTATTTTTTGGTGCAGATAAATGTGAACTCTAGTTATGAAATATAATTATGTGCATGCAAATGGCAGAATGGTTTTCAGCATTTGAAGGTAGCTTCGTTATAAAGTACATAGAAGAAAGAAGGCAAAGATGAAAGCTTTATGCATGTTTTCTCAGGTACAAAGGGATACAAGTCAATAATGAGAAACCAGAGGAACTTCAGACTATTTAGGAATTTGCTGTGTTTTGGCAGGCCTGAGAAAGAGTGAACCTCCTTGTTCCCGGAGTACAAACTTGTGTGCATAGGAAATCTTGCTTTGTATCAGTGTGTGTACCTGTCTCATTGGCTGGATGGGCTCAGTAGGAAGAGTTGGCTGCAGATGCAAGTACAGTTTGGCAAGCCTGTTCTTGCAGAAGGAATTCCAAACTCAAGTACCTTTCCTTCATGCATTTTTCCAGTTAAGCAAGACTAGAACTGGGTTTGAAGTTACTTTTCAGTGGTAAATACAGAATACTTGGTTTTAGAATTAGTTCATTAGTTCTCTTTGCGCAACACCTTCTTTTTCGCAACATGCTTGATCCATTCCTAAAATAAAACAGCACTTAAGTACTTGAGCGACATGCCATCATACCTTATGGTTACAGAAACTCCTGGAAAGTTTAAAGTACTTTTGGGTACACCCTTTTGTAATTATTCTGGCTAAAAGTCATATCTCAGTTGTCTCTCTTTGGAAAAGACAAAGCTGTATGTTTTGTTTTTACAGGGGTGGTTAAACGAATAATTCCAGCAGTAGCTTCTACAAATGCAGTAATTGCAGGTATGCTACAAAAACTCATTTCTCTTCTGCTTTACACACTTTCGAGTTTTGTAAGGCAGCAGTTTGGAATTGAGAACTTTTTTAGTGGGTTTGATTTATTCTTACAGTCTCATTTCTGCTTTCCATAGAGAAACTGTATATGACTATAAATTTTAAACTTGTGTATGACTCTGGAAGTGAGCAAAAGCATTTGAGAATGGGGAAAAACCCCACAGTACATCAGCTTAGCGCTAAATCGATGGTAATGCATAGAACTACCAGCTACCTTCAGATGTTTATTTTTCTCTTTACAAATTGTTGTACTTGATGTACTTTTTGTCACTTGTGGTACTACTCTGTGCACTAATGAAGAAATTTGGTTTTTTCCTCATTGCAGCTGTTTGTGCCACTGAAGTTTTTAAAATAGCCACAAGGTATTTCATTTCTTGTTAATAACTTACATGATTTCCAGCATAATGGCACATACTAAACCAAATGTATTTGTCATTTCAGTGCATACATTCCTCTTAACAACTACTTGGTGTTTAATGATGTGGATGGATTATACACACACACATTTGAAGCTGAGAGGAAGGTTAGTGCCATTAAAGGCTTGCAGGGTTGTTTCCTTGATTTTTATTGAATTTAGGCAGCTGTGCTTATTTCCGAAACCCAATATTGAATCTCTTTGCCCCTAGCACTGAATAATTGTATTTCCGAAGTTCTAAAAGCAGAAACTACAATGTTACTTGTCTGCTACTTCTCCAGAGCATTGTTTTTAGTGTGTAGGAATTTCTGTTCTTCTAAATCTCCTGTGGTTCTGGGGTCTAAGAGTGATGACAGTAGTGGTCTGTCCATGCAGAGTAGCAGGGCTGTTTACCTTCAGACCAACAGATGTTTTATTTGGTATCCTGATAATTAAATCCTTTCTTCTACCCATCAGTTTACCAAAAACTATTGTACAGTCTGTGATGGCATATTTAATTTTTGCCTGTTTAGCCAAAGTTTCTTAATATTTGGAAAAGTAGCTTCTGGTATTGGGAGGTTCTTCAGCCAGCTGTTTCTGTGGTGTCTGTTGGTGCAACATTGGTGTATCAACTCTTTCTGATGTGCTACCTGCTGTATTACCTGCAGAAGAAACAATACTTGACTTTATTAAAAGTGAATCCTGAAGATTTCCCCTGTAATACGGGAAATACAGTTTACAAAATAAGATACAACAACCTTAAGAAGACTCAGAAGCAAATCTTCCCCAAAAGAGATTGTGACAGCCATTGATTTGTAAGTTTGTAGTATTGAAGTTTATATCAGATGAAATCTGTAGTTCATAAATACTTTGCTGCTGTTGGGAGCCAGTCAAACAGTGACAGACCTCATGAGGAATTTGGTTTTGTCACTAATACTTGCAACAGTATTAGTATTTCTGAAGATAAAACCCCACAAGCACACAAATAGTTTTGAGACCTTACTAGCAGCATTTTTTAAACACTATTTAATGATACATGTGTTCTTGTGCTACGTTGTTGCAGGAGAACTGTCCCGCTTGCAGCCAGCTTCCCCAAAACATAGAGATTTCCCCATCAGCTAAACTGCAGGAGATCTTGGATTACTTGACAAATAATGCTTCCTTGTAAGTGTGCAACTATTCTGGTTTATTTGATAATTTTTTGTAGTTCAGTGTTTCAAGAAGGCAATTTCTACATGTATTTTTACCTGACTGTCTGGTTTTTCTTTAAAATGTTTTATATGTAGGCAAATGAAATCTCCTGCAATCACAGCAACTATGTATGGGGGAAATAAAACACTTTACTTACAGGTAATCTGAACATATGTAATTATCTTTAATAGTATTAATTTATTTACATTTACTTTCCTGACTTTGAAAGGAAATGTTTTGACTTGTTTTTACTTTTTTTTCTTCAGACAGTGGCTTCAATTGAAGAACGAACAAGGCCAAATCTTTCCAAGACACTAAAAGGTATCATGCACTTGTCTCATGTAGATTTTCATGGTGCTCCTCTAAACAGAAAGTCAGTTTTATCCCTCACAATGGCACGTGTAACTTTATTTTGCGCTATGCACTAGAACATCCTTCATTATCCTTTTATGTGCAATACACCTTTCTCAGCTTGCTCAGGGATGAGTTTTGACTTGCTTCAATGGGAAACATGGGCAGATGCAGAGAAAAACATTGCACCAAAGCTGAGCTGATGTAAATTAAACACACTTCAACAGTGTTTTATATATTTCCTGACGGGGTCTGTTGGTTTCCTGTTTGAATTAGGTGAATATTAGTTTAGCTACCGAAGTGTTTGCAGCTTCATTTCATCATATTTATGCTTTATCACATGGGTTTGCTGTACTTAAAGTCTTTTTTCTGTTTCAGAACTGGGGCTTGTGGATGGCCAGGAACTTGCAGTTGCTGATGTTACTACACCACAGACTATGTTGTTCAAGCTTCACTTTACCACTTAATTTATTCATAAGTAAACTGCATATATAGTGAGAAAAGTCTGCACCCACCTTGTAAAATAAACGTGCTCCGTGGGTGTTAAAGCAACCTGAATTGTTCCTGTTAGTACTAGCATTGTTGAAGGTTAGGTAATACAAATGAATCACCGTGTTTCAGAATTGTACTCAGAAGCCAATATTTGGTGGATTATATTTGTATAAATGCTTATTAATGTACAGAACTCTGATGTATAGGAATACACTTTTTTCCAGTTTTCGTTGTCAGAACGTTAGTGTTAGGATACTTTCAGATACATGGAAACTTTAAGGTGGCCAAACCTCTTACTTTCAACGTGTGCATATGTATATGCAAAGAGACCTTTTAAAAGGAAGCACAGCAATCTGGTTTTAAATTGTAGCACTCCTGTACACTTGCTGAATTACCTTGAAACCAGAAGAGGGTACTAGGTTAAAATGAGTATTTTCCTCTTATGTCCTGAACCTAGGACGTTTGGTATTGAAAGGACAAAAAGATAATGGAAACAGACACATCTCCTTGCAGTCCCCAAGCAAGCTGCTGTGCACAGCATTGCAGGATTGTTCAAGTGTCGTTGGTGCTGTTAAGGTATTTATTAATAAAAAAATCACAAAGACACCTTTGTGGCTTATCTGTGGGCATTCAATAGCGCTTATAACCTTGGTTAAAACATCGAGGGCATTATTTGGCTGCTTCACTCGGAGACCTTCCTGTAAGCAATGCCGAATGCCTCGACATGTGAGGTCTTAGGTTATGTCAGCTGCATTTGAACTTTCCATCTTTTAAACTAAGAGCTGCGTTTAAACTTACACTTTCCATATCCCAGCCTTGTGCTTGAACTCGTTGGCGAAGGGGAGACGCTGGTTTTTAGCAGGTAATTGTTAGCAGCCACACGTTTGGAAGGGTGGAACGGCCCCACGTAAGCTGTGGGGCTTCACGCAACGAGCTGAGGTCTAGAAGAGAGTGTCCCTGACCGTTATTTGCGTCGAGCAGCCGAAGAACCGGGCACTGGAGCGGTGGCTTCAGCC